TATACGTAGACTTGTACGTACTATATATATATATATATATATATTCGTAGAGATGTATTGAAATATAGTGTACTTTGACTTGACTCAAACTAACTGAGTGCAGTTTGTTTACGTATGTGTACCTATACCTATTCCACTTACATGTAAGTTCATTCATATGATTGTACTACACATTAGATTCATGATAAAACCCAGCAACCTGAAAAACCCACCAATATACATAAATAAATGAGCTACCTCTCTCTCTTGTAAATTTGCTGTTGAAAGAACACATATCTGCGTATATCTATATACACTATAATCAGAACCCAGTTTTTTTACACCTGTCTTCGTTCCACGCTTTCATGCTAGAGTATACATATAGGTGCTGATCAGTAGCGTCTATATGCTTCCGAGTAGTTTTAACGGATAGCATATGTCTCTGAGATGAGCACACGTGATGACAAATAAGTCTTAAACGAGAGCCATGGCAGATGTAACACTTGTACACATGGCGCGTAACTAAGGTTAGCATGTGTACTGGCAGTGGATACATACTTTGTGCGACTATGTACGGATGAGCGAACTCAAAGTCCTTTGAAGATGGAAAGCGAGAGCGAGTAGAAGTCGGTCTTCCCACAGTGGTGCGGCTATGGAGCGGAGATGTTCAACTGGAGGTGACTATATACAAATCCATAAACAATTGATGTCGACACAAACATGTGTAGTAATGTAATAGGTTGAAAGGGAAGGGTATACCAAGCACATATTTTGAGTACAGCACATTCAACCGCCTTTAATCGAGCATGGAGCACGACGCATGAGAAACCAACTGTATACACAAACGAAACAAACGATTATGTGCCAAGGTGTACAAACATAGCAATAGCGCAGAACATAATGGGAAGCATAGCAGGTGGTGCTCGAGGATGCATCAGGCATGCTTTATCGCGATTGCACGCAGGAAACAGACATTGCTGGATTCATAACCATTTATTCAGAACCCGATTCTTAAGTGCAGTGTTGATACCTTAAAACAGGCTAGTCGTCTAGCACTGTCTGATCGATAAATTATCAGCAGCAGCTTGGCATTAGACCCAGAGACTCTGAATTCGAGCGCAGTGTTAACATGCGCTAACGTTGTTCCAGTCAAAGGACAGTACAAGTTATAAGTGCGATACCGCTATGCTCACCTCCACCCTGACTGAGCGCAGTCTCATAGCATTAACTATTTGACATCATGCGGATAGCAGTAAGGTGTGAATATTATGCAAACAAAGGAAACACCATACATTCACAGTTGCTATTAGAAGGTGATGTGTGCAAGCAGGCAAACAAGTACGCGTGTCTTTGATAATTCCTTTGTGTATAGGGTGGTCCTAAAAAGGACCAGGTTGTTGTTATGAAGCTTGTCACAGAGCACGTAGTGGTCACTATAAAAGCTGCACCACTTTAGAACTCCTGAGACTGGGAAGCCTTGGCCTTGCCGGACTTCTTGGGCAGAAGCACAGCGTGGATATTGGGTAGCACACCACCCTGGGCAATGGTTACACCAGATAGAAGCTTGTTCAACTCCTCATCGTTTCTTACAGCCAACTGCAAGTGACGAGGAATGATACGGGACTTCTTGTTGTCACGGGCGGCGTTACCGGCCAACTCGAGGATCTCAGCGGCAAGGTACTCTAGTACAGCAGCAAGGTATACGGGAGCTCCGGCACCTACACGCTGAGCGTAGTTACCCTTTCTCAGGTGACGGTGGATACGACCGACGGGGAACTGTAGTCCGGCACGAGATGAACGGGTCTTGGATTTGCCAGAGGACTTGCCTCCCTTACCTCCTTTTCCTTTTCCAGACATGGTGAAAATAACTTGTAGTTGTCTATACTTTAAACTTGAAGAAGTGTACTGTTTCGAATCGTGTACGAGCTTGTATATATACAAAAGTTTCCTTACGCTCACAACCAATGGTATCGCGTGATTCACTTATTTCGAGCCGGCAGTGCCGTTCGAGCTTGGAACTTTATAAATTTTTTTGGCCGGGCATTTAATAGTCAGTTACAATACGTTTACGAATTAGAATATTGGCCACCCCTCTTACAGAAGCGAATTTTTGAAGTATGAAATTGATAAACGTACTGCTATCATTATGGAGGGGGTGCTGAAAAATCGGAAAATGGAAAACATTTTTTTCAACCGCCCAGATACTTGCGCCTGCCAACCGACAGTCACCTTGTCCACCGTAAATTTCTAATTTTCACAGAATCGTATAAATACTTGTGGATGACCTCCTTTCCCAGTACACATTTTTACAGTTCACACTCTAAGAATAACTCAATCACAATGGCCCGCACAAAACAGACCGCTCGTAAGAGTACCGGTGGTAAGGCACCCCGTAAGCAGTTGGCTACCAAGGCAGCCCGAAAGTCAGCACCCGCCACCGGTGGTGTGAAGAAGCCTCACCGTTATCGTCCTGGAACCGTCGCTCTTCGTGAGATCCGTCGTTTCCAAAAGTCCACTGAGCTGCTTATCCGCAAGCTGCCTTTCCAGCGTCTAGTGCGTGAGATCGCCCAGGATTTCAAGACTGATCTTCGTTTCCAGTCCTCTGCCATCTCTGCCCTTCAGGAGGCTTCTGAGGCTTACCTTGTAGCTCTATTCGAGGACACTAACTTGTGCGCTATCCACGCCAAGCGTGTGACCATCATGCCCAAGGATGTACAGCTTGCCCGCCGTATCCGTGGAGAGCGTGCTTAAATTAATTGCTTGATCGATTGTATATATCGGAGCCATTATTTTTGCTAGCTGTTCATGTTGTAGTATCGCATGATTCTTCAACGCTATAACACTACACAACAACCCTGGTCTTTTTTAAGACCACCCTACTGACAAAGAAATATATCACATAGTATACACGCCCCGTTTGCACTGCTTTGTGTACTGTATGTTGTGCACGTATATAGTATATGCATCATGCAATTCCTTGGTGTCCTCCGGTTGGTTTGTGTTCTTGAAGTTCATCTTCCGTTCTACTTTTGTATGACTTGTTTCATCTCTATAACTTCTTCTCACACAGCTAGGGTGTAATTTTAATATTAGAACAAAATATCGTTTGCTTCAGTTTTAAGCTCACATTCACCCTTGTGATGCTTCGACTGACTCCCAGTGACCGCAGTGATCCGAAAGTGACAGGTTCGTATTTTGGTACCTTGCAAAGGGCTGGCTTGGTATTGTTACGAGTAAGACGGTATGACCTCGAGTTTACTATACCGGAGAATTTGTGGGGAGCGCTGGACCAGGTTTTAGGGTACCCCGTAACTACTCCAATCATTGCCAATATCGACCGACACGTAATATTTACGTATATATTGCTTTTTAGCAAAGGACACACCTTATAGACATCAGTGGCAAGACATCTTAGTAGCTTTGGTGTCAGACTATGTAGTACTGTATTTGGGTTGTTTGTTACGAAATACCGATACGCCGGACACGAGTACCCTAAGGAAACAAGATATAGCATAGTGCGAGCTATTGAAATAAAGACTCGATCTGAGTACCGTCTTAAACTCACAAGTTCAATAAGTTACCATGGCGCCACGAAAACAACCACGGACACGTGATGCACATACCGAGACGCTGCGCGTCAAAGGGAAACGACGGTTTAGAAACGGAGCCGTAGCGCTATAAGAGAGATCTGTAAATTCTAGAAGAGCACAGGTGTTATAGACCCAGGATTTACTGGATAACGGTTCCCTCAATATAGCGATGCAAAGAGATTCCAGGCATCGGCACTGCAGGCTATACAAGAGGTGTTGAAGCCATATAGTGAGTCAGTTTGAAGATACCAACCTGTGCTGTAAACACGCCAAACACGTTACGATATTGCCGAGAGATCTTCAAGTGGCACGTCGTAATAGAGGGAATGTGGGGATTGGGATGTAAAAAGTTCTGGGTGCACGGGTGTCGTTTGTTTGCACATTGGAATTTTAGTTTGTAGCGTCTAGTGGCGTCGAGAGAGCGGCTCAGCTATTCTAGGCCTAAACGTATCAGCGCAAACCAGTTGCGTAAGTGGGGGTAATATAATGAAAGCGATGCTGTAGATTATGATCAGTATTGCGAGAAAAACTTTAGAACAACCCAGTTGCAATGAACAACGGGTAATAAAATGATCACAGTAGTTGCACAATGTGTGGGACATTACCAACACTATACGCTGGACATTGCACAACAATGGATGAAGCGATACACCACACTTTGAGTGGATGGTTGCTTATATGGGCTAAAAGTATATATATACATACATGCATTCATACATAAATACATACATACATACATAC